AAATCAAAACAAGAAACAAAGCAAGGGTAACACCTGGCAAAATGTACCTGCACTAGCCGCCTCCATCAATGCACAATGTCCGTTTTCGTTTCTTAAGTCCAGATTGCATTTGTGATCCAGCAACATACGAACAACCTAAAAGCACATCAAATGATTTGGGTTAACGATTAACAGTCTGCAATCAATACTAGCAATCTGTCAGGCCTATAAAATGCCCCGGCTCCAATAATGAATTTATAATTTGGCATTTGATTGTGAGAACACTTTCTTCTTGCTTGAAGAACAAACATTGGGGATATATGCAAGCCTCGCTGCAAAAAATGAACCATATTCGAGCGTGTGAAAGCAGCAAACTTAGAAATTTTTAACTATGCAGAGGAACGTAGCTGTCACCTCTTACTTGGTTCTTATTGGGAATCATTACTAGTGAAATCATGGAAGCGTGAGTTTACACTCTGTGACCAGAAAGACACTGACTTCATCAACTTGTAATGCATACAAAATGTAGATCATCAATATATAGATGAGATATGTGAAGAGTTTACAAGTTCAAGAACAAGACTCAGTTTTATACAACCGATTATTGGCTGCTGTACATTCATGAGCTAATGAAAAGCAAGGATGACTGGACTAGACTGAAAATCACGTGTTGCTACATCTGAACTTTAACAACCAAAATCACCATGCTTACCTTTTCCTGTCCAGCTGCAGCAGCATAGATAAGTGGGGTGTTCTGAGTGATGGAATAAGCATTGACATCGGCTCCCAGATCCAGAAGGCATTTCACGCTACGCACGTTCCCAGCTGCGCAAGCTTCCATTAAGGGAGTGCAGTCCTGCTCGGTTGCGAAATTGGTGGAACCACGGATTCGGACCAACATCGTTAGCAACTCCGCTAGCTGCAAACATACGCATAGTAAAGGGACTTGAAATATAACAGCAGCATTTTTCTTTGTTACAAAGAGCGCCAAAGAGTGTACAAAAAGAATCATGATCATTCATTGATAGCGGTGAATAACTCATCATCTGTTTCCAACTCAATTTTTTCACAAAACATTGATTCGAAAAGTTTACTGAGCGTTATAGAAAGCTCTCACCCCAGCCGCGCTCGCGAGCAAAATAAGGCCATCTAGGTTGCCGCTGCACTTTGCGGAATCCTCGTCTTCACTTGAGTCACGGTGATCGAAATCCGTCTGAGGTGGAGTATCTTGTGCAGCAGCCATAAGGCCCTCAACAGCGCGAGTCGGCGGTTTGCTAAACAAAAGTTTGATCTTAAGTTAAAAAATTCAGATATATCTTACCGAAGTCCAGCACCGGCATACAGGCTAATTGCATGAACAAGGGATTCGGTGGTAATTTGAACCCCCTCTTCATTCAGGGTATCCTCGATCTCTTCAGGAGATAAGCCCGTCAGCTCCGGAAGAACGGTAATTTCAGGGGATTGCATCTCATCACATAAAGCTTCAAAGGCTTGGTCCATGCGTTCACGCATAGTGGAATTCTCGGACTGCAAAGATTCCCAATAAAATGACAACCGAATAAAGTTTTAGAAAAGGGATTATAAACATTAAGCTCACCTCCCCTCTAGCGGCACGGCCATCTTTCTCAGAAGGCGCGAGAGAGTCAAGGGATGGCGATCCAAACACACATAGAGTAAGGTAGTTTTGCAGACAGGTGTAAAGCTGAAAAATCGAGATAAACTCTACGTTCAACATACATTTGATTGTTGAAATCTCTAAGCTTCAAACTTTTTCAACAATTTTCGCAATCTTAGGGCTAGCGTATTTTATGCACACTCCACTTCTACAAACTTGAACATTGTAAAGATAAGTAAAAAAAA